CGGGTTCTGATGAGAACAGTGTAAGCGTTCAAGCAAACCACTTCTGAAGATGCAAGCCACTCGTGCTTGCGAAACGTCAGGAATACATTCTCGTCGTTCGGTAGAATAATAATAATAATAATACTTAATACAGTTTTACCAAATCAATGAAAGCACACGAATCTTCAAACTTAAACCTGATAAATAACTGTTAAAAGAATCTTGGGAACGAAACCTATTGGCTTATTTATAGCAGAAGCTAGATTTATTCGAATATTTTTCGAGTTTGTTTTTAATTAAAATCAGTTGAAAAAGGTTCACTGATCAAATCAGCCAAAAAACTGTTTCCGGCTCAAGTGTTTCTATTGGTTGGAGATCTGTCAATTCGTCCGCCGTCGTACGAACTGACAGATCTCCAACCAATAGAAACACTTTCGTATCATCGGACCATCGTATAAACACGGGCTTAACTCGGAGGCGCAGCCCGAATTAGACCGAATAAACTCGAGTAGCATCGGTTAGATCCAGTTGTGTTACGAGGTGCGTTTATAAAGTTCACTTCTATACAGGGTGTCCCGTAAGCACATGATCAAAACGCTGCTGCGATATTATTTGGATCAAAACCAGACGATCTGATCTAACGTTTACTAAGGTGAAATGTCTGGCAGCTCAGCTATTCATGGTTAAAGTCAAAAAAATTTATATCGGGTAGGATTGACTAATTAAACTCGCTGTGAATTTCTTCGTGTGTAAGACTCATGTTTTGATGCAGCAATCGAGTTCATTCGCTTTGGGCAAATGAGGAATTCTTGAGTGTCTTGGTACAAAAACCACCAGAACTTTATATATCGTAACTGATTTTTTGTGAGTTGATGCACTAATCTGTTAAGGACATGTTTGTCCTCTTTGCAAATTCTTGAAGCATTGATAGTTTTTGAGCAAAAAATATTTCTGTTCTCTTGCCAACTGACAACTTTAGACACTAATTAACTGTTTACGTTAACGAAGCTTAAAGTAAATGTTTTGCATTATCGGTAAAGTGCTCATATTTTGGCAAAAACTCGCTTCTTCTGTTTGTGAGATTTCTGATGGACGCAATTCGAACAAAAACGCTTCCAAAAGACGACCGGGACTAAGACTTAGACTCTGTGGGTCAGTTAAAAATCATAAAACATTTTTGTTGACCATGTAAAATCTTGTAGCATGCCTAGTTTTTTGTGCAAAAAAATTATTTTTGGTTCCTTGCTAATTAACAATTGCAAACATTAACTGCAACCGTCAATTGTGAAAAATAATTTTTTTGTGCAAAAACTGGGCATGCTGCAAGAATTTACATGGTCCAAAAATGTTCAAAGAGGATTCAGGTTCAGAGAGCTTCCAAATAAAGTTCTGGTAGTTTTTATAGGCAAGAACAGAAGGCCTCTGTGCCCTTTCGATCATGTGCTGCGGGACACCAGGTATAATGCAGGCGAGTTTGTTTGGCCTTCCAATGAAATTGATAGAAAAATGCAAATAAACAAATTCTTACCAAGTTTCTCACATTAACAGTATAAAAGTTTTGGCCCTCTAGGTTGCCGTTTTGGGTCTAAAATTATATTAGTAAAATGCGGCGACAAAGTAAAACAAGCAAACAAATCAGTCTGATGCAAAACTGCGCTCAAGCCAAAACGGCAACTTACCACCGAAATGTTCTCCTTCTCCTCCTTCCGGGTCTTTTTCACCTTTTTCTTTTTAATCGACCGTTCGCCGGGCGCGCTGCTTTCTACAATTGTTTCGGAATACTCAGTGCTCTAAGGGGGAGCAACAAAAAATCAAATTAATAAACGGGAAAAATAGTGGGAGCTTGAGGCAACCAAATTAGGGCTCGGGGTCAGTGAAAAGCCACAACAAAACAGAAAAAGAGCACACCAAACGCAACGGCATACCGTCCATGCCCTCTTAGCAATCAGCAGCCCTCCTTGGCGTCCAACATTTGATTGGAACCTAACAATTCGAACAGAAATGTGAAATTCTGAGTTGTTTAACTTACATCATCCAGCTGATCATCGTCGCTCTCCATCGAGCCCTCAAATCGCGTTTTGATTTGTTCGATCATGTTGGCACTTTTCAGGTCGGCACTGGGCACTTTCTTCACGATGCCGACTACTTCCGCCTTGTTCTGGAACTGGCTCTTCAATTGTTTGACTATTTCGGGCGGGACGGACTCTGTGTCTTTTTCCCGATTGCCCATCGGATCGCTTTGCGCCTGCTTCGAAACGACCTCAGTGTACTTGCCGTAGTAGTTGGAGCTGGATTCTGATCTCTGATGAGCGATTGCTTCTTTGTACGTTTCGGGCGGCATTTTTCTTCCAGAGTCGTCGTTGGGGCTTGCGGGCAGAACTTGCGGTTCGGCGACGACAGGAAGGGGCGTTTCGGGGGGCTCAACAAGCTCCTCAGTCGACTCTTCTAGAGCTAGTGGAGGTGGTTCGGTTGTGGTTGGCAAGGCCCGATCGACGCCGTCCAGATTATCAGCGTTTTCAACTTTCTGAGCTCTCGGTTCAGTGGGGAGCGGGAGACCGTCCGCAGCCTCCCTCTCGTTCCTTATGAACTCCTCCAGACTGCCGTCATCAGTGTCGTTGCTCTTGGCGCCGGCCCTTTCAACCTCGCCGACTGCCAACACTTCCTCAATGTTTTCGTAGATGTCCTCCTCTTCGACGTTCCTCAAACCGCCCCGCTCCACCAGCACGTTCTCGTACATGTTCTCGGGCGTGGTGTTCTTGTAGAACTCCGTGTTTTCGTAGAAGTTCTCCGCCTGCTCGCCTTTGTCGTCCACCAAGGGCTCTGATAGATCAGGACTGGTCTCTTCGCCCTCTTTCTGGACGGTCTCCCGCTGGAAGCCCTTGAGGAAGTCGATGTTCTCCTCGCTAGGAGTGAGCATTGGCGACGTCACCGTCTGCGTGAAGAGCAGCGTGGAAGTTTCATCGCAACTGAGCAGCATGCGGTCTTTTGCCGAACACTTCAGCTCTTTATCCGGGGACTTTTCCTCCGAATAGTCCGTCAAGCTGGTAGTGGGCAGATTCAGCATGGTTGCCGGAGGTTGGAGCTCAACGCTCTCGTAGAGGTTTGAGGTGGTTTCTTCCAGCCCCATGGGCTCGTATTCCGGCTGACTGAAGTCATCCGGCGCCCGTTCGTCGACGATCATCTCCACGTAGTTTTGGACCAATTTTTCTTCAGTCTTCTCAGCAATACATTCGTATATTTGCTCCTGGCTCGCCATCGTACTGATATCACCGTTTTGCTTTATACTTTTGGGCTCATCGTAGTAGTTTTCCGGCAGCAGTTTGGGCGTTTTTTGCGGCGAGGCGGGCATGTTTTCGTAGGTCTCGTCCGGTTCGGGGGGCTCTGCCTCCTTTTGCAGATTATCCTGCAAATTCGGTTAGTCAGCACACTCACACGCAAAGCTGTTATCACACTTAAAAAATATACTATCAAATTGCAACTGCCATTGTTTCTTGTAAGATTGAACTTTCAATTTGCGACCAGTGTATTAAAATGCGCCACAAATCAATCCGCCCTCACAGCGCGATCATGTGTGTGTCTCTGTCGTGCACATGGGCGTTTGCCTGGCAATCCCTGATCGCGCTAGCGGTGGCCACGCCTTAATGAACATGCATCTACATTTGATTTACACTGGTCAACTTCTGAACGGCGCTTTTTGATTCAGATATTTTCGGCGCACATTAGGAAATTAATATAAAAATGCCGCTGCGAGAATGGGAATTGCATTCTGATGGCCGAAATAATATATAAAGAAGCAAAAAATACAAACTTGGCTCATGCAGTTTTTTAATCTGATGTTAAACTCCTCAAGCAGAGTCTCTTCTAGATCTTTTTCGTCGTCACTTACTATTCGAGACTTCTTCACTGTGTCAGCCATTCTGCAAGGAAAAACTCAATTAGCGCGCCTCCTAACTGGGCATAAACAGGGCAATTCTTAAATAAACCTGGCAATTTTCTAGAACGGCGGCTCGGTTATGGTTAGTTCGTTTAATTTGGCTAATCTTTCCGCTGGAACAATTATTTACAACATTCCTTAACCGTATTATGCTTAAATGAATAATCAAGTGTGCAACAACCTTACTGTAAACCGAATTAGCGGTAGTTTTTTCTATCTGTGCGCTGGTAACACTTTACAATACAAATGAAGAAAAATGAATCGAAAAGATGCGGCTAACGACCGATTTTTCTTTCTTCGGATAATGCAGATTTAAGTACCGGCAGCGGTTTTTTATTTCGTGTTTAATTGCGCGACATTTACTACAAAGGTTCTCCGAGAAGTACTTCTAGGTGTATGGTGTAGGGTAAGTATGTATATTTAGCTGCTTAGGGTGGAACCGCCCTTTAAATAACTGAATTGACGCAGCAATAAAAGCCCGATTTTCCCATTAATTCCTCGCACCTGGAGCGATTATTGTTCCAATAAATAATCCCCGGTGTTTAAGAGCAAAAATAGCCTATTAATTTCACTATTTAACGTATTTATATTACGATAACCAGTTAAAATGGGTTTTTGTTCTTTTTCTCTCTTTCACACGCCGGTTTCACCTTGAACCCGGCGCGCTCGGTTATGGGTTTTTATACGAGGGCCCAACAAAGAAGCGCCGAGCAGTTATACGCAAACATAATGGCCAGTAGCAGTAAACCAATTAATAACGAAACTATCTGAAACTGACGATACTCGATGGTATAACGAGGAAAACGCGGTTCAAAACCGACCACCGGGTAGGCGAAATAGACGCCTATCGCACACGTAAAACCTCTTTTCCTCGACAAAACTAAGAGGTCATTCATACCCCGGACGCACCCAATCAGTCAAAAGCGCGTTCAGCGGAAATATACACAACATGTGTTCAAAAACGAGACAACAAGTCACTTTTAAGAGCCTTTCAATCAATCTTCGGGAGCGCCATCTTAGTCTGGAGCGATTTTGTACGAGAAGGAAGGCATTTTGGTGGATTCCCACAATGTTTCTATTGAGTAACGAACGTTACATTTGCACACAAAAAAAACATTTTAGTATTTAATTCACAGCGCTCGCTGGGAAGGCCGTAATTAACCTCGAAATTGTAATACTTGAATATAAACAAAACGGAAGAAAACCATCGATCAAGCAGTTTCTAATTCGCCGCCCTAGTTAGGCGAAGTGTGAATGTTTTGCGCGCCTTTAAGTGGTTTATCGGGGTTTTATTATGCTTCAGAGCTGCCAGGATCCTCGAAGAACCTGCTTCAGAAACAGGAAGCGACGACAGCTGTCACTCTATTCTGCAGAAGAATATTTTTACTGAGCTTGACAACCCACTTAAAATAAGATTGTGCCAAAATTTCATGTTTTCCGTCCAGTTTTTGCTCATTTCTCGGAGGCAAAATGAGCAAGAACGCTCATTTGTACGTCATTCTAGAGAGAAATAAATGGCCTTTGAAGCAAGTGAAATTTTTGCAAAAACCAACAAAAATTTGAAAAAAATTTAAAACTTCTTGAATGAAAGCATTTTTTGAGCAAACTGCCAAGGCCATTTATTTCTCTCTATAATGACGTACAAATGAGCGTTCTTGCTCATTTTGCCTCCGAGAAATGAGCAAAAACTGGACGGAAAACATGAAATTTTGACATAATCTTGCACCTAAGTGTCTGATATTCAAATTTCGCTTTCTGGGTCAAAACTACTCGAATTTTCTCACTCGCGTTGTTACGACTGAATCGAC